AGGCTAATTGCCTCGGATCACTTCTACATTAGATTATAGCACCTCGCCTAGACCACGGAAGGTTAACCTCTACATGCACCTAGATGGAGGTGATGCATCACTTTGACTATCTTAGTATATGGCATCAACTCGACCGGGTATGACAATGATTTGGAGTGTGAGCATGTTTGTGCTTATTAGCTCGTTGCCATGTGACGTTCTTTGAGCCTAACAATATTGTTCTTAACCTATGATTTAGATATACAGTTGGAGACAATTGCATTTATTTTATCCATAGAGACCATATATAAACAATAAATACTTGATTTCCTAAGTATACAATAATTCGAATAATATAAAACTACCAACCAATTTGTCGTTTAATTTAAATTAACTAGAGGGAACAAGATAAACGGCCAAACTATATTATACATTCGTCCTTTATCCGATTATGCTTGGTTTCCATTTTTCCAAAATTCATTTTCTCATAACTCATTTTCAACCACACATTTTCTTGTAAACTAATTTTACACATAAATTGAAGATTTTTTCTTACTTTTTAATCACATATTTTGTAACAAAATACTATTCTAAAATGTATTTGACCCAAAAAAAAAAAAAAGGAACTCAAACAAGGGTGTAATATATAAAATGGAGCGAATACTAGATTACCAATCAATTGCAACCTAAATATTATCAAGAAAGGGTAACTCATGCACTCCGGGGCATAACCTAGTGGTGCAAAGGACAGAAGTGAGGTTATTTCACGCCTTACTGGCAGTCGCAGTGTGAGGATTCAATTCCGGTGTTGTTTAATTTAAATTAACTAGAGGGAACAAGATAAACGGCCAAACTATATTATACATTTGTTCTTTATCCGATTATGCTTGGTTTCCATTTTTCCAAAATTCATTTTCTCATAACTCATTTTCAACCACACGTTTTCTTGTAAAATAATTTGACACATAAATTGAAGATTTTTTGTTACTTTTTAATCACATATTCTGTAACAAAACACTATTCTAAAATGCATTTTGACAAAAAAAAAAAGGGACTCAAACAAGGGTGTAATATATAAAATGGAGCGAATACTAGATTACCAATCAATTGCAACCCTAAATATTATCAAGAAAGGGTTAATCATGCCCCCGGGGCATAGCTCAGTGGTGCAAAGGACAGAAGTGAGGTTATTTCACGCCTTGCTAGCAGTCGCAGTGTGGGGGTTCGATTCCTGAGACATGAAATTGAACTCTTTGTAGGCGCAGCGTACATACAGCTCTTATTCCCTGGTCCACTGGGGGCACATCCCGCGATTTACCTCCCTCACAATACTCTAGAGGCGGAGCGGTGGAAGCCCTCAAGATTGGGCTACAATCTTTAAGAAAGGGTTACTCATAAATTAATAATATAAAAAGGACTTAGATAGAGACAATATCTACAACGGGATTAGTGAGTATCTATGGTTCTTGGAAGAAGATTTAATGTTCAACCCTTGTTTGTTGGACATGCTCTGGTTCACCGAATGGCCCTAAAGGTGCCAAGAGTTAAACACCAAGCAACGTGATGAAGAGCATAGAGTTGGGTAAAATACTTGAGACAAACTGCGCACAAAAGTTAAGCACAATTCAAGAATGCTCAGCTCGGGAAATACACTTGAGATCAACCTAGCATTAAGCATATTTACACGCATATAAAATATGGGTTGCACGAAAATTTTTAGACAAAGTCGATTTTATCCAAAAATAGTGCACCACCAACATTTGAAAGGGGATGGCTACTTACTAGACATGAATGCCTCTGTCTATATATACCAAGGATCTCCTTGCCCGTCAAAGAATTAGTGAATTCTTTCACTTCTGTTGATCAAGCTCTCACACATCTTATTCAGTGTATTTTTTGTATATTTTATTCGATACATATACAGTGCAATTTTGATAAGTAATACTTTCACAATTCTTTGATTGACAATCATAAATAAATAATTCATAAAAAAACCTTTAATAGAGACAATATCAACAATGGGATCAGTGAGTATCTATGGGTTCTTGGAAGAAAAAATAATGTTCAACCCTTGTTGGAGGCCATAACTATGGTTCAATGAATTCTCTGAGTTTTCCTACTCCGGACTTTAGTACGTACCTTACACTGCCTGCTCTTTAGATCACGTGATCACTTATAATTCTGTTGTCCATTAAATATCATATTTTGTGACAAAATTAATGATCTTATACTTGGTCCAATTCTGTTACGTCCCTTCAACGTACTTTATATTACGTTATATATTAATTAATCGACTATACTACATGTACTTAAAAATTTTATCCACTACTCATAATAAGGGGTGAGGATCATGGCTCGGATTTTTTAAATACATGCGGAGCCTGCGTGTTTTGTGAGAGAGGGGATACGGTTCGGTAATCCTCTTCGGTACATATATCTTTTCCATTAATTAATAGGATAGATTGTACAGTAAAAAAGGGGTAAATTGTACTGAGGTTCCCGCCTTTGAATCTTGTGGTGATGGATCCCAAACTTCTGATTTTTAGCACGAAGAGTTTCAAGTCTTTCAAATGTCTGCAACCGAGGTCCTTTTAATACAAAAATCGTTAATTTAACTAGTAAATTTTAAATTTTTAGGGTTTAGGCTTCAAAATTTCGAGATCCTTGGTGTAATTTACCTAAAAGAAAAATACAAGTTAAAATCGATCTTATTCAACCGTCTTAGTAACATATGCTAAATAGTACAACTTCTTCTCTTCTAGGTTATTGTGAAAAACGTTAATGTTTGGCAACTTGCAAACTCCACCTTGTGGTTAAATTTTATTTAATTAAAATGAATAAGCAAGACTTAATTTGAAAGCTTTTATTAATATACTAGTTTAATATGAATAAAGTTTTAATTTTTTACAAGTGTTTCGAGTAGAACTAAATGCTAAAGTAAAATTTCGTGTTTACTGGTGCCTAACTTTGAACATAAACATTTTGATCGATCAACAATCATGAACCTTTCAATATAATTACAAAAACAAACATATAATTAACATACTGTCATCATTTCGTGTATAAACTATTTCACGGATAATCTAATATTTTATCCGACCATACTTCAAATCAAATATAACAAGTAAAATTTACTCACTTTACGATTAGCCAAATTTCTTACCAAATTATTAATGGTATCTTTGGCACGTTGATTGGACTTTAATAAAGTTAATTAAGAAAAATATGTAATATAATTTATTAGTTATCTTTTTTCCTCTTGCTCATCCATCATCTTATGAATGTTTAAAGATCTACGCTATTAGTCCTTGATTTTTTGTTCAAGTAGCAAGTTAGTTTCCAATCTTTTACTATAATTGTACAATTAGTCTCCAACTATGAAAAATGTTCTAATTATGTTATATCTTCTAGTGTTCTTCAAATATCTAATTTTTTTAAGTTAGAAATCCGTGGCTCTCATAAATTTAAAGTAGTGTATCTTTTCAAGGTCAATGATGAATTAAGGGAAATTTAAAGAGTTGAGTGATGGAACAACTTAGTACTTAGACAATAAATTAAAGACTAATGTTACAATTTTATCGAAATATTTCCGTGAGTGTCTTAATTTTTAATTAATTTAAGATAAAGTTTTTTGCGATAATAATTACATGTAAGGATTTAATTTTCCTATTAATTGGTCGAGGACTGAAAGTCAATGAGAGTGTGATTTTTGTGAAAAGAATTTATTGCGCGTTGGACTTCACTTGTGACTTGGGAGGAGACTTAATATTTATTGGCCGTTGGATTCATGCTTCCTCCCCCTAGTCAATAAATGGCCCATTCATCATTGCCGTTGCTTGGAGTATGCCTGAAACTATAGATACACGATACGACTAAAAATTGATTCAAATTTGACGCGGACATGAAAATCTTGTTTTCACTGTTTAGGTTGCTTTCATTTGACCTAAGTAGACGTCGTGACTTCAAATTCAATCATAATAAAATAAAGCTATTTAATTTAAGTGGCGCTACAATATCAAGCCACGTGAGTATGAATTAAAATTTAAAATTTTATCAAAGTCAAAAATAACAATTAATTATAATCAAATATTTCATGAATTTCACAATTTTTTAATTACACATTTCATCAATTTTTATCAAAATCTACTAAAAATCTTATTATAATATCCATCAAATAAGGGCTAAATGATAGATCAATTAAGTCATAGTATGGCCTTAATTATATATGACTCATTTTTCCCCAAACTCATTTTTATTCACAAATTTCATGAAATCAACTTTTCAAACACACACTTCATCAACTTTCCTTAAATCTAATAAAAATTTGATTTTTAGAACCAAATAGAAGGTAAATCTAGGAATATAATATTCAGCCCCTGTTTGACCCCATTAACTGAAAATGAAAATGGCGGGAATAATATTTTTTAGAAAAATGAGTGGTTGAAAAAAAATAAAAAGTTTTCGATTTACGTGTAATATTATTTTATGAAAAATTGTGTGGTTTAAAATAGAAGAGAGAAAAATGAAATGTAATTTAATTTAATTGGGATCAAACAGAGGCTCAATATCCAATTGTTTGGGAGTAACTTTCCAAATGAAAATAATTATTATATTTTTTTAGAATTTATAGTTTCAAAATAGTAAAAAGTTATAAATCTTATAAAATGTATGGTTAGAAATATTTTTCTAAAAAATCTGACTCATTAAACACAAATTACATGTAAAGTCAAACATTGGTCGATTCTTGATTTTAAGATTGAGAACATTTATTAAACGAATCTGAACCGAACAAGATAATCTAGCCCACCCAAAAGGTTACTTTGTTTTTCCTTTTCCAAATTTCCAAAAAGAGAGAGAGAGAGAGGGGAAAATAAAAGCAAGATTTGTACAGAGAAGACAACTGTTCTATCATATCATAGAATCTTAAAGTGGTAATGATCTTATCTTTGATTTGAAGTTGAACCAAAACAAACCTAATTCTTTCAAGAAATCATAATACCCAATTTGAAACAGATTTCGGATTACAAGAAAAATAGTAATCATTTCCCTCAATTTACACTGTATAATATAATTATTACACTCATGTTCATTTTACTAGGATAAAAAAAAAAAAAAAAAACTTCTTATCATATTTCACGAGACTAAATTATCTAGATAGATAGTTCGACGAATAGAATTTTTACGTATTTCTATTCTTAAAGATTTGATATTGTCTAAATCGACCAGCTTTTCGTTTTCATATCCAATGGCCTTGATTTTACAAAAAAAAAAAAGATGAGCCTAAATTGCTAATATCGATTTATTGTCATGCCTAAGAATTATGACGTAATATCTTCGTCAGATTTTAATATTTTTTTACTAATTTTCCCGCTGCTATTTTGCTTTTTGAATAAGGGGCTTGAGCTTCAAATGCTGCATCTCTTCTGTTCTTCCCATGAATTTCTTCCCTGATGTATTGTTTTCTGGTTAGGAGGATCACTTGCAGATCGCCATAGCTGGGAAAGTTCTGCAAATCAAGAATAAAAAGATCACTACTAGTCAAAGAAGACTTCAAGGTCGACTTATTAAAAATTCTATCCACGACCAGAATTTTAATGTACCTTTCGACGAAGAATTGTAGGATTTCTTGCAATGAAGAATGGCGCCTTGGATTCCATCTTCGTGCTGTTGCAATAGGGAGCCTTCCCTCCGGTTAATCGGCGACGGAGACATTCCGACAACAGCCGAGGCCGATCGGCTTTTTCCTAAATGCTTTGCTACAACCTTAAAACTACCCACTCGGCTGCTCTGCGATAGATTCACCGTCGCCGTCACCGGGGAAGATAACGGTGTGACGGAATTAGAGAACTTTGATTTTTCATTTTGTCTCTTCGATACCTTGACATACAGAGGCTTTATCAGCTTCAAATACTTTGGGACAGGTTGCTTTGGTTTAGCCTCTGTGGAGATCTCATTGGAGGATTCTTTTATCAATTTGCTTCTCAAACTGTTGTCTTTGGTTAAACATGGGGAAACTGCAGCTTCAGATTTGCATTTCGGGGAAAAGCGTTTGCTCTGTTCGTTTTTGGATGATCTCGTGAACCGAGTTGGAGTCGCCGGTAACAAGTCGCCGGACTCACTTTTCCCCGCCTTTCTGAACCCCAGCATGAAGACTTTGAACATCGGCCCCGATTTCAGCAACGAAATCGGAGACGATAACAGCTTTGAATCAGATTCCATTGATAAATTTTTCTCGGTCATGAAAACGTCTCTCGGAGATTCAACGAAATGAAATTCCTTTTTTGTTTCTTCGTTATTGGTGCAACCAGGTGATTTCAAGACCAAATCGAAGAACGATTCTTCGTCATCATTTTCTACGTCGGAGCTATTTCTAAAGGAATCTCCAGTGACATTCCGCCAGAACTTGAAAATGCTTAAAGATTCCATTGAGAGTTTATGCAAAGAAAGAAGGAAGAGATAGTGAATAACAGTAAAAATGGTGGGTATATAAAGGGGTAGGATTTTTTACTAATGGCGTTGGGGTCTGGAAAAATGCTTTGTGAAAGCAGAGGATGAAGAAGGCTTTTATGCAGGTTTGTGGGTGGGTGCGTAAGATTGCGAGGAGCGGGGGCATGGTTTATTAAGGCTTTGTTTGTCTCGTGGTTATATATATATATAATTTTACGTTTTTGCATTAAGCCCTTGTTTGTTGAGATTAAAATAAGTTTTTTAGTAAATTTTGATAAAAATTAATGAAATTTGTGCTTGAAAAGTTGTAAAATCTACTAAATATGAGATTAAAAATAATTTTTGACTTTGATTTGGATAAAATTATTTTAATCTTTAAGCCATACCAAATAGGGCTAAACAAATAAAATAATTTTAAAGTCGATAATTTACTAGTAAGACATAAAAAATGAATTAGTCTTTGTTCAACCCACTCTTTATTTACACATTTTGTGAGATTCACAAGCATCATTCATCTATATAGTGCTCATTTAGGGCATGTTTGATTGCAAGAATTACGGGACCTTCTAAAGAATATTTGAAAGTTCCTAAAGTGCTACTGATTTTGTAACTAAGTTTAGGGGTGTGAGTGATCCAATATTATCGATTTTTGACATATTTTCAAATCGAACCGTTTAAACCGGTTTGAGAAAAATTCAAACCATTTTAAATGGTTTGAAAAAAACTCAAATCTAAACCTAACGGTTTGGTCAGATTTTAAACCGTTGATTTCACTGTATAGTTTTTTGCTTGTCTACTTTTACACTTTAATTCATTGAATTCAATATATTTATATCTTACTAGCAATAAATTTAAAACAAATTAAATATATCTACTATAAATTTAAATACTAACTAAATCAAAGTGAAATCACAATAAACTAAAACATAGTTTTTTGTTCGTCATTTTAGGCTAATGACGTTACAATAACGTTATAATAAAAGTCTACTAAACTAAATATAAGACCAAAAATATTAATGATGTCTAACATATCGTGATCATCATATCTGCAAGAAAAAATATTATTGATTAGACAGAGAGATTAACCAACCACAATAATAAAGCAATTATTTATAATATCTAAACATAAAATTACACGAGCTTTTGAAATCCTGAGCCCAAGACAAAAATTAAAACTTGACAAAAACAACGAGAATAATAATAATAACTAATTAGGATTATTGGGTAATAATAATATATATATGATAGAAAATTTAAAATTAACAAAAATATCCACAAATGACAAAAGTAACAAAACTATTGAATTTTACATATTTGGATGAATTTTTAAAAAAATTCATTTTTTTATTTTTTATTTTTATATATGTTTTCCCGGTTCGGTTTGGTTTTAAACCGCAATTAAAATTCTCAAACCCAACCAAAACCGGTTTTGACCAATTCAAAACCATTTAGTTGACGAGTCCACATGGCAGCATATCGAGGATTCTAAAATGCGGTTCGATTCGATTTGACGATTTTTGCTTTCAGGCCTAACTGAGATAAAAATTTTATGACAAAAAGCTATTTGGATAATAAATTGAGTACTAAGGGGGAACGATTAGTTGAAGCAACAGGTGTGGTAGCGAAACTGATTGCAAAAGAGGGAAAATCAACCATATTAAAATTACCTTCTGGGGAGGTCCATTTTTTATATCCAAAAACTGCTCAACAACAGTCGGACAAGCGGGAAATGTTGGAGCGAACTAGAAAAGATTGGGTAGAACCGGATCTAAGCGTTAGTTAGGTAAGCGTCTTGTAATTAGATGAGCAGTTATAAACCCTGTAGACCACCCCGTGGGGACGGTGAAGGGAGAGCCCCAATTGGTAAAAAAAAACCGACAACCCCTTGGGGTTTTCATGCACTTGGAAGCGATGCAATACATTTGAAAACATGCTGTTTTTTAAGGAATGTATTCATTTTCGACTTTTAAAGAATTTTGAAGATTTAAAAAGTTTATGTGTTTTTAATTAAAACTTTTAAAAACTCTCTAAAAGTTTTTAGATGTATTCAATTTGGACTTATATAGATTTTTAAAATATTTATAGAAGTCACCAATATTTAATTGAAACTTTTTAGAAGTCTCTATAAGTCATTAAATATTCAAATAGATAGTCACTTTTGAAAAATTCTATACTTATTGGACTTTTGGAGACTTTTTGATAAAAAAATAATAATAATAAACTACAAAACTCAAAAGAAAATCTCTCATACATTCTGAGATTTGTGAATATTTCAAATTCCCAAAAAAAGTATTTTTTTTTTCAATCTCTTGTATTTTCTCATCTCTTCAATTTATGATTATTCTATACGTACATAATTACTTTTGAATTAAAATTATATGCAATTGTTTCAAAACATAAAATTTCATGCAATTGATCTTTTTTATTTTTTTAGCTTTATGTTCTTAGGAATTAAGTTAATTTTGCGAAAAAATTCAGTTATGTTTTTAGAAGTTGATTTTAAAATTTTTATTATTTTATTCGTGTCAAAATTGAATGATTGGGCCATGACTAGTGATTCTATCCAATAAATTTTTTTGGACACTATAGTTCTCAAAAATGTTAATTAGGTAATAAGAAAAATTGTAATTTTCCTGATATATAATGAAATCTTAAGATGAAAAGTCTCCAAAAGTATTTAATCAAAAATCTATTGAAATTCATGAAAAACTTTTATTAATTTTTAACAAATCCATAGAAGTCATTTAAAAGTCTATAAAATCCACAAGAGTCACACACTTAAAAAAGTCTATAGAAGTCTTTAAAAATCTCAATTGAATACACCATTTCTTTTTATAATTCAAAATTGACCTTCAAAAGCAAGGTTAAATTCACTAATGATATCTAATTTTATATTTAGTGTCATCATGACCACCAAATTCGATTTTATAACAAGAACTTTGCCCCCCGTTTGGCTCCCCATTACTTTTTTATTATAATGGGGAAATAGTGTTTTTTTTAACGTTACTTCGTGTATTAAAATTATACAAGGATTCAACTCTGTATCAAATTATAACTAAACTCACAAATTTATATTTCATCCATATGTTACCATCTATCAATATTAACGAAAATAATCCACATGGCAAACGAAATGCCTATGTGACAATGACATGTAGACACTTGACAAGTTATCTACGCGAATAGTACAAGAACTTTATAATTTATATAAAACTTGTAAGTGAATTTTATCACATGTACCAAAATCATTCACAAACTCACTTTGTATCAAAATCATACATGAAATCACATTTTTGAATCACTCCATACATGAATTAACTTCTGTCAATCAAAATCAATGAAATAATCCACACGACAAATTGTTTAGAATACAATTTATTTATTTATTTTTTATTTTTAAAATTGACATCTTCAGAGTGGACACCGCGATGCTCTTTTTCACGAGGAAATGCATATCTACCTCTACAGAAGCTAGAGGAATGTACAAGATGGTTCATAAGTTTTTTCAAAGATGAGTATTTGTAAGTGGATTGCCTTAATTCTTCTTTTTTGAAAAATAAGAGTATTACATCAATTTTTTTGTATGATGAAGATGATAAAAATATAAAATGAAACTAGGCACTTTGTCACATGGTTCATTGATTAATTTTGACAGAGACAAGTTAATTCATGTATGATTTATTACAAAGTTGAGTTTATCTATGATTTTGTTAAAAGATGTAGAGTTAATGTACATTCCCACATTTAACCCGAACTTAAAAAATTTAGGAAAATGCAATCGTTGAAGTTGGGTGAATATAAAGATATTTAATTTGATAATCAGTGTCATTTAAATTCGACTTTCGATTCATCATTTTCATTTCACAGCCCAAATTTTATCTCGATGAGGATCACTCACAACAACATTTCAAGACCATTTAAAGCATATTTTATTTGCCAGACCCTAAAATTCAACTTTTGACTAATGAAGAAACACATTTAACAAATTATTTGCATCAATACCACTTAAAAATTCTTCAGCTTTACAAATGCAAATTAATTCCGTATATCTTTAAAAATTATCTAAAACTGTAAATTAATTTTGAGAAAAGTAGATGATGCCAAGGGATTGATTCTGGTACGAAAAGACAGTGGGAGGCTGCGAGGGTGACAAGAAACTTCCAAAAAGAAAAGAAAAGAAAAGAAAAAAGGTATAAAAAGGAAAAAAATGAAAAGAAAAGAAAGAAAAAAGACAAAATTCGTAATGTCTTTTTAATGTTGGGGTGCGAGGAAGGGGCGTAGCGGGGTACTTTTGCTTTTTTGCTGTCTTTGAGAATAAAATCTGACGTGTCAGAAATGAATACTATACACTTTGCCGGGCCAACCCATGGACCCTGCTTTTTTAACCGGGTCAGAGTCGGACTCATGTGTTAAAGGTTTGACTTGATTAACGTCCCTGATTTGATCAACTTAATTTTAAAGCCATTTAAAAGGTCAAGATTTTTTACTTTACAAGAACAAAACGTGGGAAGAAAAGGGAAAAAAGAAAAGAAAAGAAAAAAAGTACTGCACTGTAAAAGAGGTAAAAATTGGGGAATAAATGCCTTTCACTGGAAAAAATTGTCATACAAGGGCTTTGATTCATGTGGAGAAAGAAAGTTCATAAGCTTCTTTTCCTTTTCCTATTATTTATATTATACAAGACGGATATTTATGAAATTTAGTGAACCAAAGGCCCAAAGGTATAGCATACCATTTGGAGCCATCGTCGAGTATAGTATAATATATAAAGGGCGACTCTAGTTGCATAGGGGCAAAACAAAATTCTTTCTTTTCGGCAACCATAAGTCAATCCCCCTCTTTCACAGTGATTAGCTTAATAGGTTTAGGACCAAATGACCACCACATTGGTTTCTCTCGCAAATTACATCACGAAGCACATCAAGATAGTCTTGGTCCCAATTCAATACTAAACAAGTCCAAACTAATTGAACATTCGTATCAGAAATTCCTCGAATTGATTTGTCGTTTGACTCTAGTACCATAGTAGGTAAACTTGAAGAGAAAAGAGACATCATTCAACTCATCATTATTATTGAATTGATATAGGTATTAAATAGCAGAGCTGCTACAGAGCTCGGGATTAAATCCTGGGTTTGGCTCCAGGGTCGAGGTCTTGGATCTGAATCTCATCACAT